GCAGATAGATCAATGTGAGTTAGAGGTCAGCCTGGTCTACATTGTGAGTTCCAGTACAGGCTTCAAAGCTACACAGAGAAACCCTGTCTCAAAAGAAGAAGAAAGAAGAAGGAGGAGGAGGGGTGAGAAGAAGGAGGAGAAGGAGAAGGAGAAGGAGGAGGAGGAGGAGGACCCATCTAAAGGACAGTGACAGTCGAAGACAGCCTTAAACATGTCAGTCTCCAAACACCACGGTTGAACATCAGCAGAGACCCCATGGTACAGAGTCAGGACATGGCTCAGACAACAGCTATCCCACGAAGTCTGAGCCATTCTCCCACCATTAGCTCTGGCTGGGACACACACACAGGCCCCCAGGCTGTGAGAGACAAAAGCCAACTGCAGCAACAAACCATATACAATGTGAGTGTACTTACATGGCTGTCATAGATGGTTAGCGCAGTCTCATATTCTCCCTGCAGAGGTGAAATTGCTGTGGTTAACATCTGGAGAAGTCAAAACGCGATGCTTGGAAATACACTAGGAATAGCTGATGAAGGACCCCACTAAGACAGATGGGCAGGGCTCAATGGCACCCAATGTGGAGAAGGGAGAAGGTGAACCCAACCCTTGGGTCATGAGGGCCTCACCATGCATACATGCTTCTCTCTGGGCATCTTAGGAGCCTCCAAGTCTTTCTCTACACTAACAGTGCTGCAAGAAGCACCCTGACAAACAGGCCATTGCCCATCTCCATCATCTGTCCCTGCCCCCTCTCCTAGAATTGTTTCTGGTGCTGTAGGTCAAATCTGAGACCCTCCCTGTATCCCAGGCAGTAAAGAGGCACTGGGTTCCAAACCACCTGTGGAGGTGTGAAGGGTCCCCATAGGCTCAGATGTTTGAATACTTGGTCCCAGTTGGTGGCACTTTTTGTGTGGGCTTAGGAGGTGTGGCCTTGCTGGAGGAAGTGTATCACTACAGGTGGGCTTTGGGAGCATAAGGCTTCACCCTATTCTCAGTCCATGCCGCTCTGTGCCTGAATGGTGTGAGCTCTCAGCACCCAGTTCTGCACCCATGTTTGCAGCTTGCTGCCAGCTTCCTCACCATGATGGAGGCTCTAATGCCTTTGGAACCTTCAGACACACAAACCCTTCCCTCTACTACAAGTTGTCTTAGTCACAGTCCTGTATCACAGCAATAGGAAAGTAACTAATAAGCCACAGGAGTCCCAGTTCCCAAGAGTGGAAAATGTCTTGAGGAGCTCAGCATACAAAGCTCTTGCAATGTGAATGCAGTATTGTTTCAGCTATCATCTGTGCCGGACAGATTTATGTCAACTTGACACACGCTAGAGTCATCTGAGAAACCTCAATTAAGAAAATGTCTCCATAAGACTGGGCTCTAAGCAAGCCGGGGGCGTGTTTTCTTAATTGATGGGGGATGGCCATTGTGTACAGTGCTATCCCTGGGCTTGTGGTCCTGGGTTCTATAAGAGAGCAGGCTGAGCAAGCCATGGTGAAAGCCAGTAAACAGAACTCCTCCATGGCCTCTGCACCAGCTTCTGTCTCCAGGTTCCTTCCTGCCCTGTTTGAGTTCCTGCCCTCGCTTCCTTCAGTGATGGATAAAGCAAAGCAAATAACTCTGATCCTCCCCAACTTGCTTTTGGTCACGGTGTCTCAATACAGCAATAGAAACCCTAAGACACCATCTTTTGTACCAACACATGAAGGGGCTACATGGAAGTCAGACACATGGCAGGGGCTAAGGCTTTGCTCTGAACATCTGCACTGAGTGAGACAACCACAGAGACAAGCATCCTACCTTCTCAATAAAGTACAGGGCCCAGTGCCAATAATTATGGGAAGCGAGCATATCCGAGTCCTGTGGAACGAAGGAGAGAAAGTCAGAGCATCTGTGGGCTGGGCCTAAGTTCAGTTTGTATCATACATGAACCCCTGTGTTCAATCCCCAACATTGAATCAACCAGATATGGTGGACCACACCTGTGATCCCAGCACACACTGTGATCCAGGGAGTAGAAACAGAGGATCAGAAGTTCGACTTTGGGTTCAGGAGATGCTCACTAGCTACAGTGTTTGCTGTGCAAACATTGAAGAGCTCAGTTTTACTCCCTGAACCTACTTAAAATCTGGAGAGGATGGTGTATGCCTGTAATCACAGGGGAAGCCTAGAGGTTTCTAGCCAGACAGTGTTGCCTAATCAGTAAGTTCCAGAAAAATCCCAGGAAAAAGTGGCCTCCATGGTGGAGTCTGGAGCCGCCTAGGATTTTCCAGACCCAGGATTCTGGACATCTTTAGAATGGGATATGTTCATAAACCTCCCTGTAAACCAGCTACACCTAGAACCATGCCGGGAGATGCTGGGAATTGACCTGGCTGTCAATCACAGTTTTAGCCCATGGTAATGCTCAAGAGGGATGCTGATGGCCACGGCATCCTGCCTGGTCTCTGAAGCATTGAACATCTGCCACTCAGTGTCAGGTTGTGGAGGGACTTGTTTCCCCAGCTGGTGGTGTCCTTGGAGCCTGCTGTGGCACAGAAGGACAGAGCAAGGGCACCTGGAGAGGTGGCCAGGTCAGGACCAGACGCAAGTTAGAGAAAATAGGCACACTCGGCGGAAGAAGGACCACCAGAGCTAGTGGGGAAGGAGGAAATGGCCCCAGAGGGGTACCAGCCTGTCAGAAGCAGGGATGAGTAAAGTCGAGAATAGGGAATAAGGACAATGAAGCCACAGGGTGTTCAGTACACGGAAAGGGTCAGGCTAGATACTAGGGGTCTGAACCACCCTAACTCCCATATTCCAGTTCTACATCATTGGACCATCACCCCATTGGTCTGCCTCTCTCCCACCCACTGCATCATGTGGTCCAGAAGGACACTCCATCATTCCATGGGGATCCTGCTGGCAGCAGCAGAGGCACATGCAACTCAAGGCCCTAAGCATGCCCATCCTTGCTGGGCTCTGATTTCCCCAGCACCCCTTGGGTCCATTCCTTTCATAGCAAAACACCTCAGGGAGACCCCAATTGTACAATCACTTATAAAATGCTGGCAGATGTTGAGATGTTGTGGAGCTCCCACAGGATGCTTGGCAGTCAGGGATGGCTCCAAGCTGATCCTAAGCTCCTGGGGAACTAAGCCACATCTGTAAGTCCTACCCAGCAAGCCTTGGTGGGATTCCGGGTATCAGACTGGATCATCCAAGATTCAACTCCTACCTTCCAGTGGCCTTCGGTGTTCTTCATGAACTCCATGCCGTCCTTGATCTCGGCTCTCATCTCATGTACGTGGGCAACAGTGTGCACTGACCATGCATCTGTTGGCTCAACAGATAAAGCCTGCATGAGGTTGGAGATGGGAGGACAAGGAAAATGGGTGTTAGACCGGCTACCTGGGCTCAAAAAGAACAAGGGTGAGACTGAGCTCTAATTCAGAATAATGACAATCCTGACACCAACCCCATGTCCTACGTGCCTGGGAGGTAACGGTGTGTGCCTTACCCACCACAGCAGCTGCTGAGGAGGGCATCCCTGACAGCCTCACAGATGAGGAAGCTGGGGCTCAAGGAGGCCAGCACTTGCTTCCTGGGTACACCCGCATCATCTGCAAGATGCTACCCAAGATATTGTGCCTCAGTTTCCCATGATGACTTCTAGGGCTGCCTTCCTCTCAGGGCTATCAGAATAGCGTAGACAGTCACATCCTTTGCTGGTGCAGGACAAGCGGCCGCCCCTTCCACTAACACTCAGGAGATGGTTACACAGGAGGATTCCCACGTTAGAAGGAACTGGGTTTAGCAGCACTGTTGTTAACAACCAAATCTACATGACCCCGGAGTCCACAGAGAGGCCTATGGACACCTGAACTGGCTCTTACCTACTTTCCATCTATTCACCAGGTCAGTTCACGTTTATTGAGCACCTTCTAAATGCTGGACATGAAGCAGTGAACTGGGGCTCACTTGCACCCCATCACTGCCTTGTCCTCAGGGCCCCACATCAAATCATGGGTCCCTTAGACCTGTCTTCCCTGATATCTAGAATTACAAGTGCCTCTGTGATGACCTGGCATCTGATGCAAGGGTTTTGGCAATGTGTCCCCAGCAGTCTCTGGCCCCTGGCCCTGCCTCTCAGCTTTCACAGTCTTGTCCACTCCCTGTGGGAAGACAGGGCTCACACAGCATATCTGTGAGGTCTTGGTGCAGGGGGCCTAAGAACCAGGGGAGCTGGGGACATGTCAGGGTGCATCCTGAGCATGCTGATCACTGGCCCCTTTAAGGAATCTCTGCAAGCATTCTGCTTTAAAACGGTGCAGTTGAGAAATAGGACTCAGCCCTGTTCTTTGTGACCAGCATCCTCACTCAACTGGAGCCCTTGCAAGGTTCCCTGGGAGACTCCAACTCTGCCCGCCCCTCACACCAGAGGTTGATCTGCTGGGCTTGCTGTCACCTTGTAAGGTCACTGTAGTTCAGTGGACCTGGTGCTGT